TTAGAATTATCGCCAACAATTTTGCCGTCCACTACAGTGGACACCATGCACGAAAGGGTTAAATAAAGAATACTATTCCGTTTTCCAGGCCTGGCAACCCTCCCTCACGCGTGCAGTCTGCCCACGTGTGATAATAAGGGTAACGAGGCTCATGCCTCATTAATAATAAAGTGGGTCGCAAGACCAAGCCCCACTTGTCTCATGAGATCCCTGAGAGCCTGCTGTTTGAGTAAGGCACTCCTCGGAGGCGCCCTTCGCTTCTCTTCGCTCTCCTCATCCGTCTGCGAGATCCCCCGACCCAGTCCTTCGATCTTGTTTGCTATCTCTTCCGCCCTGCATAAATTCAAAGTCTTCGTATATCTTTTGAGGCGAGCCATGCATGCGTGAAATCAGAAGACGTGCCAAACGAACCAGTCCGTCTCTGCGTAATCGTGTTCCAAGTACCTCACCACTGTATCTAGCCTGAAAAAAAACATGCGTTTCTTCGGATGGGTTGTCCAACTGTATGCAGTTGTGTCACGTCAGCACGTGATCTTAAAAAGGGCCAAGGCGATCAGCAGTTATTGGCAACGTCCAGCTCACTTTTCGAGAACTTTGTTGATCCGTTTGTCAGCCTTGTTTGCTTCCTGAGCCTTCTTTTGAGACCTGTACCGATGCAGGGATTCCGCTTCGAAGATCTTCAGCATCTCCAAGGTTCTCTGCATGAATTTCGTCACTGCAAAGCAAACCGAGAGAAATGCCTGCAACGATCGACCGAATATGGAAAAACGATTGGCGAAATCCAGCTTACAATCTTCTCTTTCTTTCCGGCAGCATCTCTTCCAGATGAATTTCAAGAAGAGATAGACGTGTTCAAAGATGATGAAGGGAGGGATAAGCCCAGGTTTGTCGTCGTAATCACGGACCAATCGATACATCTCATACTTCCAGATCTCCATGGAATGCTCGTGTACCTCGTCGAATACATATCTATTTTTTTTTATATCAGCACTCCAGGCTTTGTAATGAGATACCCTTAGACTGAGGACTAGGCTAAGGTGTTATGTGGTGGGTGGCTCTCTCACGCGAAGATGGCGATGAGAAGATTGAGGAGTAGAACGTTGCTGATGATGAGATAGATTCCTAGCATGATGGGAACAACCCACTCGTACTTTTGATAGTTCTCACAGTTCTCCTTGTCAGAATTGCCCAGGGGGCACGTCGAGTCCTTATCCACTGTGCAAGAAGAAAAACATTCACTCAAGTAGGGGAGGTCCTAAGATCCAAGGGATTTTTCTCTTCGTCGGAGACTTACCTTTCAACTCCTCGAGAAGGAGTTCCCCATACATCTGCCAGTATGGGGTGGAGATGACGTCACTTACCACCCCCCAACTCAACTGACGGTAGGGACGGATGAGACTCTGACTGGCGATTCCGTAGCCCAGGATGAAAACCAGGAGGAGAAACAGGAACATGACCACGTCGATGATCTGTAACGTAATTGATGATGAATGCTGAACTCGTCAGCGAATTTCGTCGGACAGGAGGTAGATTGTGCACCATTCGATAGACGGTGACAAGCTTGGGTCCCAGGTGATAATGAGCGTGGTAGACCCTCAAGAGACGGAGGTAGAAAACGGCCGTATTTAAGGCATAACAAATGCGGCCATATTCAAAAGTGACCCTGAATTTACGAAGTCCGAAAGCCGTTCCAGCCAGAAGGTAAGCGAGGAAATCGAAACGATTCCATGCACTATCGTACCAATCCCGCAGCTTCCCCGAGATGGTCCCCGACGGCATCGTCGCGACCTGGAAGAACACAAATTGAATTCTATCTCTCGGTTTCGCTCGTACGTTGATTTCTTTGCCATCCTTTCTGACCTCTCGGAACTCCTCGATGATGAAGATGCCAATCCAGGCGAGGACGACCTTCTCGGTATATCGGATCTCCCAGCCAAAGTCAAAAAGGATCATGTAGGAATAAAGAAGCAGAAAGAAGACGTAAGAGAGAGTATTCCCAGCAAATTTCGTGATCGGAGCCTTGTAGAAAGTGAGGATCTTCTGAAACGGAGTGAGTTCTCCCCCGGTGTCCCCCAGCGGAAGAAATTCGAAGAGGCGGGTCCAGACGACGAATGGGAAGAGGATAGCAAAAAGGACGGATGCCGTCGATGCCGACTTCATTCCTCGTCTCCAAGACTGATCGATGGACTCTTGAGCACATTGAGTGGCGATGAAAGTCCTCCCGTTCCCGATCAAGGCAACTTCTAATGTACTCATCCCTCCCCATTGCTCGTTCCTCCTTTCGATCACGCCCATCGCCTTATCTCGATCCATTTCGTAGCATATATCCGTCACCTGAGACACCAGATACGACAACATGACAACGATACTCCGATCAATGCGAGAGTGAGCGTATAAACAATGGTGGATGGGGAAGGTGTTATACGGAGACGGCGAGTCCCTCGAAGCGTTTTTTGCAGGCCTCATAGAATTCCTTGAGGTGAGTGGAATCCGCCTTGACAGAGGAATAAAGGCCATGATAGATGGTAGCTGCCACGATTCCACAGGTTATCGGACTTGCACACCTATCCCATACGAATTCCGCCACGTCCACGTAATTCCCCAAGACAGCCCAAATGAACAGTTCCATTGTTGGATCCTTCATCCCGTGGAAATAAGTCCTCGTCATACCTCAGTCGAAACGGATTCAGAGCCGAATGTGATGAAACTCACGTCGAACTTGGTGCGATTCCCGTAGTTATCGCTGGGGTCGGCTTTGTGCCTCTCGTAAGTATCCTGGGCATATTTCGGATTCACGAACTGTCTCAAAAGTCTCTGAAGAAGTTGTTCCACACTGTGCAAGTACACTGATCCTCGAGACGACTGATGCAAACTCAGCAGGTCTCTCAAATAGGATGACTCCGGAGCCTGGATGCGAAACGATGGCTCTCAGTATGTTTCCAACTGATTCATCAAATTTCATCCGAATTTGTTGAGGCAAAGCCATCTTATCAGCAATTATTGAAAAGAAGTTAGACATTGAGAATGGACAAGAACTCTTGCTGGTTGTGGAGTGGAGGACACACTCGAGCGCAGAGGAATGGAAGCAGAGTTCGACGTGGCAATGAGCAGGAGGGACGGTGCTCGAGTGTTTCCTCCACTCCACAACCAGCGAGAACTCTTGTCCGTTCTCAATGTCTAACTTTTCAATAATTGCTGAAAGGATTGCTTTGCCTCAAAAAATTCGGATGAAATTTGATGCAGTTGATGTATGCAAAGGGAAAGTTTCGCGAAAAAAAAAAACTATTGTAAGGGGAGATCTTAGGGTTGAACGTCGTTGGTCATTTTTTTGCCATGTCCTGCATGTGGGATCCACAGAATGGAAGGAGGGGGAGGGGGGAGGGGATGAGAGGAAAGGAAGCTTTATGGAAGAGTATACAGAGTATGGCAAAATAAGACTTACTACATACTTTTAACCACTATATCTCCGTTCCCACTGGAGCTATTTTCACAAAACTTTCACTGTCTATAGATATAAATGTTTACGACATATCTTCGAAATTTATTCTAAATTCACTCTCGAAGACAAGGCTATGAGCATTGATTGAAAAGAAATAGAATATACTGAAAACGGACAAGAGCCCATGCTGATGGCGAAGTGGAAGACACGCCCCAGTGCTCTGCTTGCTTATCGTTCTTGCCGCATCCAATATCTCTTCCGTTGCAATCCATTTTTAGACCTTTTCTAGCGGATGTTTTGATAGGCTTTATTCCAACACAGACGAATCAATGACTATTCAAAACAGAGAGTTTGCTCAATGTTTATTCAAAATTTAACTTGGTCTTCATTGGAGGATGGAACAAGAGGATGAAGCTCTCGGAAGGGATTGGGGTCTTCTGTCCATTTACAATTTTCGATTCAATTCGAGTAATTGGTCATTAACTTGATTTGGCAATATCAATTTGGGCGAAATGTCAAAAGTAAGGTTGCGAACATATCAATCTATATCCAATGCAAGTTTCGTATAAAAAAAATAGCTTCAGTGAGAGCAGAGCTATGCAGGTAAAAAGTCCTTGGTCTTTTTTTTGTCTTACCCTGTGCATGCGAGATCAAAGAAAGACCAAACTTTCAGCTCACATTCAGCTTCACGTCATAAAGCCCTATGAAAATTTTCGAGGTGTCTTAGTCGAACAGCCGCTAGAGGTGTACCATGAAGGCTAGAAATTCATATTTTTCATGGGGCCGAGAGAAAAGATAGATGTATATTCAGCATGATTGCACGCCTCCGCCTCATCTGGTAGTCGAAAAATAAGCGCAAAAATCTCGGCGCGTTTCTTATGCACCATCCGATGCATTGATTTTCCACTTGATCTTGATCAAGTGGAAAATCAATGGAAAATCAACGTCATCTTGATCTCGTCGCACAAGCGGTGAATCGTAGCCTCTCTGACGAACGGCAAGGAATCATTTCCGGTTCATTTCCGCTTGAGATCATGTTGTAGGCCTGACAATTCTTCTCGCGACAGTATCTAGTAGCGCACGCGGGACGAAATAACTGCTGGCCATCGAACGAGGCCACGTATATCTTCGAGGCCTCTGGTGAACACCTGCATCCCTAGCCACTTGGATCCCAAATGCGGAATAGAGTCGGACGACTAGTCCTTCTTACGACTCTTGAAGACGGACTGCGAAGGGGTAAGACTGGTAGGAGCGAAGGAGTGACAGTCCTTCATCCACTCCACCATGTTCCTTCATAAAAACTGGCAAACTTTATATTACATTTGATTTTATGCATTCTATCACGATATATATCAGGTGAGGTAAGAAAAAAACCGCTCTGCCCTTTGAGATTCTTTGAAGCCCATGAGATAGGAGATAGCAAAGCTAAAAAATGTTTCCCAACTAATTCCATGTATCCTTTCAACGTTCTCAAATTCTTGTTCATTTCTCCACTGTCGTTTTTTCATTTAAGCGATAACGCGAAGGCAACTCAGATTTTAATTTTGCGCGAAGAAACGTATCTGTGGAGAGTGGCCAGAGTTTCTGTCTACCCACGAAAATGCTGCTCTTTGAGAAAGGAGGGGTGGAGAAAGAATTTTACAAGAATGTCCTGGTAGTGGACGAAAGAAATGCAGGCAAAATATCGAAAAGACCCTTGTAAAAAATTGCGATTCCGAGTCAGTCGGGCAGGTTCTCGGGTCAGCGCCAGATGTGAGCGCAAAAAAAGAAGAATCCAGTAGTTTTTTTTATTATTATTATTACAAAATCGCTCGTGTCGTAAAACGGTTTGAGGTGAACGTGCAAAGTTTTTGGATTTTCAAAAAATGCATAGATTTACGTATGAAAGAAACTTTGTTCGGTTACCGGCTGCTTCAGAGGTGTCACAGAATTTCAAAGAGCGGCGCGTTTTCTTTGCCGCACCCGATGTATTGAATGAAATGTTTCCAAAGGCTAAAATATATATCTAGTCTACCACATATTTGATTTGAATTGAACATTTTATGAAATTTGAACTGTATCCCAGCAAACGTTGACGAAAGCTTTGTGCTGACAGACATCTAGATGTTTCATAAGCTTCATTAATTTTTTTCAAAGCAAGGAACCAAGCTAGCTAGAAAAAAAAAACACTTAAGGATATGAAAAGATAGGAAAATGTTGAAAGAAACCAGAGATGACGGGGCAATGGATTGGCACGATTGGTAAACATGGCTCCCTATTCTGTTATGTACTGCACGAATTGAGCATTCTAATTTTACGATGCCAAGGGAAATTGCCATACTTAGAGTTTCTTTTCCTTGCGTTGAGGTCCTGGGTAGAGAATGTTTATCTCCCCCTTAAAAATTTCCCATACGCACTACTGTTGGCCTCTCGTATATCGAGCGATATAATGGGGAAAGGGGAACGTACGATTTTGGTGTAAAGGTCCCTGAGTTTCTTGACGGTCAGGTAATCGTAGAGGCTGACGCCATTGTGAAGGAGAAGATGAAGGAATTCCACTCGGCTCTGGAGAAGGGCATCCGTGAACATATCGTCCAGGGCTCCGTCCGGACGTTGGAAGTCCTCTGAGAGGAAAAACAAATCGAACATGTTGGCCATCACGTTTGCTTCCTCGTGCAGTCGAGAAGGGTGAAGGAAGGTAGACCTGAGAAGATTCGTTCCTCGGCGATGTCGGGTCTGTTCCACATGAGGGCCAATTTCAATTTTTCCAATTTAGTTCCACTTTGTTCTCCTGATAGAAAGACGGAGTGGAGACGGATAATGAGTTCGCTGTTGTCGCAGATAGGACAATTCATTTAGGACACCCTTGTGTACCGAACTCGTACTCTCTACTGCGTAAATATTGTGCGATGGAAGCTATGAGATCCTCGAAAGGATCATGAAAAGCCTTCTTTCCCCTTACCCTTTAGGAGCGCGGAGAGAATGACCAGGTCGAGGTCGTCATCTGTGTTGATGTTGAACACGCTGATGAGGGATTCCTGCTTGCAGCATTGCAGCACCATATCTCGATACTTCTCCAGTGTGTCCGGTCTTCTCTGATCGTCATATCGATCGAAAGAGCAATTTGTGGTTAAGCTGATTAGTACTATTTGACGAGCGTGCTATCGTTTCACGACATGCTTACCCGAAAGTACTTGCCATAAGCCTGCAGAAGTTTTTCTTCCAGGATCTTCATGTGGTTCTTCTTAAAGACCCTCTCCTCGCTAAGATGTAGAAAGGGGAAATGGAACCAAAACGAGGTTTAGGACCGAAGGAAGTGGTTTCTAGACAGCGAGAGACCGAAAAAGTGAAAGACTTGTGAGTGGTGGTGTAATGGTTATAAGCGTAAGCAAGGATGTCGGCTGCTCGACCCGTCCCTTCCAGCAACACGATCGGGATCTTCTTCTTGATCCGTCTCGAGATGTCTTCGATGGATTCGATCCCCCCTTCCAGCAACAGACCCACGAGGGGGATGCCCATGAACTTCGGGTCTTGGATGTATCCTTCCAGCCGTGTCCTGCACGGATCTTTCAAGTCCTCTCTTAATCTCGATACCGTTTTAAGGGCCGAATTTTTGCGCGCTCCATATTTTATTCCTGCCGCTTCGTATTGACATTCCACCCAGATGGTAGCAAATATAATTTTGAATTCATATTTCGCCTCTGCTTCAGGAAAAAAGCTTCTGAATTTCCTCCTTCTAATTAATTAACTAACATTTTTATTATTAATTAACATATCTCAAGCATATTTTCATACTTTATAATGCATTCTAAAGAATTTAGGCGTACATTTCGAAACAACTTCCCTGCACAAAAATCCCTCCTTATCATGGCCTTATTTTCTCTAATTTTTCCGAAATCGAACCTGAGTTCGGAAGCTCCTTTGCTGTTGAAATTCCGGAATCCGTCGTCGACGAGAAGAAAATGAGTATAATCAGGATGAAGTGAGACAGGGAAACCCGTTTTCACCGAGTTGCTTGCTTTGTATTTCACGTGATTGAACGCTGTCCCAGGATCGTTGATGTTGTTTTCGTTCATCAGAAACGTGTTCCCCTCCACGTATCCCCAAGAACAGATCCCTGCAACGTACAGTGAGACTTGCATGGATCTAGGAATCCCCGGCAGATTTCTGATTCCTGCTCGAAAAATTACGCGACGTACCTATGGCATGAATGGCTCGCACCATTCGATCTCGTTTCGTGACGATGAATTGATTTTCCCTGATTGCCTCACCGACACTTCGGGAGCAACCCAGGTTTTGCCCTCCCGCCAGCAACCACGCATGAGTCGACTTGGCTGCCTTCAAACACCCAAAAAATACACTCGTGAACCAACTCGATTCGACGAGGACAAGACTTACGAAGGTGGGATCGAGACCTTGATGAGACCGTCGTTGAAGGTGTCCTTCTTCTTCCCGTCCAGCTTGAAGTTCTTGGCCCCGCCCATGATGGAGATGACGAGATTCGGCATGGCCGGATCGAAGAGTTTCCAGTGATCGATCAGCAGTTTCTTCACGTCCTCCATGTCGGCCGTGTCCGCGAGTCGGACGTATTTGGCGGGCTTGGAGGTCCCTGCATCCAGGAATTCGATGTCGCCGTAAGCGTCCGTGTCGAATTCCTGGATCGCTATCTTTTCTCGCCATTCCTCGTCCTTCGAGATCTCTACGACCGGTGCCCTGATTCACATCATAGTCCTCATACGATAAGGCGAAGAGGCAGAGCGAGGGAAATTGAATATGTCGTCGAGGGACAGACTCGATATGCTTGGTGAAGTGCTCCTCGGCAGCCGAGCCACAGAAACAGGGTTCGGAATTGTGGGGGTACCGCTTCCCAAATTCCCTCTTGTAGAATATGCATTCCTTCTTCTTGAACGTCGTCCGGATGAAGTGGATTAATTCCAGTCTCTCCATATCCACCGACGACACCGTGATCTGCGTCCGACCCGTCTTTCGACTCAGACCTGTCACCATCGACACCCCCATCCCCATCACCCTCATCCCGAGACGGAAGGAACGATTCCGAAGTCGCGAAAAAGTGAGAAAGAAAAAAAAGACTTGCCGATCTTCTTCCGCTGAAGCGTCCATCGCTGATCGTTGATTTCGTATCCCCCCGCCCCTCGACCCTCCTCGAAAGCCAAAACGGAACTCTCGCTTCGCATGACCTGGTCGTCCGTTCCCCCTCTTCTCTTCCTAAGACGAAGAGGGCAAGTCCACGAACGATTCAAGGACGTACGGAAATAAATAGGTCGATCGGCATGATGATAAAATCTGACGTCAAGCTGCATACTTCGATCGAGTGATACCTACTACGTCCCTCGAATTTAATTGACGGTTAGGAATAGACCTGAATTTTCTCCCTTTGTAGTGTTAGGGGAGCGTTGAAATCAGTCTTCTCAACACGCATCCGCGACAGGAAACCGTCCTTCGTGACCTTTAAGACTTACGACTGATATTTTGTCAAGCTCGTATTGACAGACGCATGAGGCACGAGAGAGGTCATTTCTCCAGTCGAGTGTGCAATAAAACCTTTTCGAGATTCCCGCACAAACCCACCCTTCCGCAGCAGACGTCCATCTACCCCATTGTAGTCGATTGTGTCCAAAAAGCGTAGAAATATGTCTGAGAAAAGCCTAAGCCCAGCACCAGCTGTAGAAGCGGGCTTACGCTCGGCTATGGAAGTGTCCAAGTGAGATATATGAAACGCTTGGAATCCCAGCTCACGAAGGAGTTGGCTACAGACGTTAAGGCAAGGCGAGGCAAGCAGTCATCTCGTCGGGCAGATAGTAAAACACATTGGCATTTACTTGAAAACGTGGGTGATGGTCTCCAGTCGTTGCCATGCTCGACAGTAACCGTGAGTTAGGAATTCTCTGCCGCGGTCTTTGCCAATTCGGAGACCAAGAGAATGAAGTATAAAAAAAAATATTGGACACGTTTTGGTGACGGTCACGTTCGACGGGAAATATATAAAATCAGTTCGTTAGAATGAGAAAAAAAATTATATATATATCGATTTCCAATGACGAGGCGTTGCCAGACCGTCAGTCGATGCACGGGAGTTTGCTTACAGAACGAAGGAAGGTTCGAGGATATTTCCCTGAGACCCCCAGACTTTGACCCGAGGCGGTGGGGCCAGCTGAAGGGGGCTCACCCCGTTCTGGACCTTGTTGCTCTTCATTCCGCCCGTCCCCTAACTCCAATCACGGGGACGAGTTCGTGTTCCCCCGAGTCTCACGCGACACGGTCGCCATCCAAACTCCGCGAGGACTGGTCGTCCGGGACCTTGAATCCACTGTTTACGAGGCTCCATGCGTACAGCCTAGCAACGAACGGTCGGGAATAGTGTGCATGGACAGGTGTGCGAATGCCTTCTTATTAATCAGTCGATAAGTGCGGGCCGCAGCCGAGGAGTCCATTTCATGCCCACTGCCGAGCGGGGGATGGCGTCACGAGTCTGGGAAACGGAGGCAAATTTCTCGCACCCATCAATCCTTGTCGAGACACCGCGAGGTCGGGATTCCCACAGGCCTACTGATAGAGTCTATCCCAGTGTGCAGAAATGTATTAGCGGATCCGATGCATTATGCATGCTTCGTAGACTTTCTAAAAGACCCGGAAACTTGCTCCCCCGATGAAGTCTGCGAGAACCCTGTCGACTTGCCCTCGAAATCCCTTGCATACCCGGCCCAGACCCGGCTCGAGGATTAAGCCCGGATGAAACCGAAGTTAGTTTCGATCGAGGAAAAATCCAACGACCTTAGAATTCTCGGGTGTCGCGGGCCGGTCGCCGAGTCTCCGCGAAACTCACTCCGGATATCAATATGTTGTGCTCTGCAGCTTTCTTTCGTGATCGATGTCGCTGACGTCATCCAGCCGTCATTCATCCCCGACGTCTGCGATTGGATAATCAACTCTTGAGGCTTCTGCATTCTTTTTCGATCGAGGAGGAATCGGGTGGGCGGGAGATGAACTCATCAAAAACCCGACGTATCTCTTTCCTCGTGCTCCTCAAAATTAATGGAATTTCTATTATCGGACTAATCGGTACGTCTGAAGGAGTTCATCGGACCGAACGCAGATTTCGCATCTTTATTCGACATAAAATCCATTGCGGCTGACATCCGATATCACATTTATGAGGCATGAATATTTCCATAAACTTAGTCCAT